AAAAAAAAAAAAAAAAAGTACATTCATACTATGTTATACAATATACAATCCATTAGGTATTACTAAATTGTTAGCAGTCATTAATTCTGGGTAAGTGGCACTGATGGGCAGAGATGAAAGAAGTTTCTCTTTCTATCTTATGAACTTCTAATTCCTTTGATCGCCAAGGCTGGAGTGCAGTGGTGTGATCACAGTTCATTGCAGCCTCAACCTCCCGGGCTCAAGCCATCCTGCTGCCTCAGCCTCCCAAGGTAGCTGGGACAACAGGCACACACCATCATGCCTGGCTGATTTATTAAAACTTTTGTAGAGATTGGGTCTTGTTATGTTGCCCAGGCTGGTCTCGAACTCCTGAACTCAAGCGATCCTCCTGTCTTGGCCTCCCAAAGGGCAGGAATTAGAGTTGTGACTGATTTAGATTTTTTTTTTTTTTTGGGACAGTCTCGCTCTGTCTTCCAGGCTGGAGTGTAATGCCATGATTGCGGCTCACTGCAACCTCCACCTCCGGGTTCAAGCAATTCTCCTGACTCAGCCTCCTGAGTAGCTGGGATGACAGGTGCGCACCACCATGTCCAGCTAATTTTTGTATTTTTACTAGAGACGGGGTTTCACCATGTTGGTCAGGCTGGTCTCAAAACTCCGGACCTCAGGTGATCCGCCCGCCTCGGCCTCCCAAAGTGCTAGGATTATAGGTGTGAGCCACCACGCTGGCCGTGATTTAGATTTTTAACAAGTGTGTGTTACTTTCACATGTTTAGAAATATCGACAATAATTTTTCATTATTTTTTTAGAGATGGGGTCTCACTCTGTCACCCAGGCTGGGGTACAGTGGCACAACTGTACAATGGTACAATCACAGCTCATTGCAACCCTCACGCTATCCTCCTGCCTCCATCTCCCGAGTATCTAGGACTACAGGTGCATGCCACTATGTCCAGATAAATGTTGAGTTTTTGTTTTCTTTTTTTAATTATTTTGTAGTGATAGGGTCTCACTATGTTGCCCAGGCTGGTATCTGCTTTTTTGAAGTCTGTGAGGAACTCATGTGGCCTCAAATGATCCTCCCACGTCAGCCTCCCAAAGTGCTGGGATTACAGGAATAATATCTTTTTAGTGAACAGTAATAAGCCATCTTAGATCTTGGCTTAAAGAAAGAAAAGGAAAAGAACAGATTCGAGAGCCAGAGAGTCGCGGCTGAGTTCCCGCTCAGCCATTGCCCAATGCCCACTCAGCAATGAGGCTCTGCCTGGAGCCTCCACATCGTCCCGTATAAAAGGGGTTAATAGTCACCTCGAAGGGTGGGGGAATAAGTGAGTGATGATAGTATAGGACTCAGGACAGTGGCTGGTATACAGTAAGTGCTAAATAAATGTTCTATATTATTATTGTTACTACATTTTCATTGTGGGCTAAAATAAGATTCTAGGTGAGTATGATGCCAACTTCAGAAACTGAAATAACTTCTAGGTGGGCCCCCTGTGTCCCCATCTCACCCCCTCATCCCATCCCCCAGATCCCCTTGCTGCCACCAGCCACCTGCACATGATGTTACGCAGCTTCTCCAAGTTGGCGGGCGTGAAGTACCAGTAGTTGCGGTCACACCTCTGCACATCCTTCTCAATGCGGTGCAGGTTCACCGTGTACAGGTCCAGCAGCTCTGGCTACAGGCCACCAGGGCCGGGGATGAGGGGAAGAAATGAAAAATTACATCTGACTCCCCACGGGGGGGCAGCAAGCCTATTTCCTCCTCCTAACCTCTTGTCACTAAAAATACATCTCCCACCTGGACCAGTTAGGTGTTTGATTTTGTTTGTTTGTTTTCTGAGAGGGTGGTTTTTTGGTTTTTGTTTCTTTTTTTTGAGACAGAGTGTCACAGTGTCACCAGGCTGGAGTGCAGGGGTACCATCTCTACATCTCCCTCCTGGGTTCAAACGATTCTCCTGCCTCAGCCACCCAAGTAGCTAGGACTACAGATGTTAGCCACCACGCCCAGCTAATTTTTGTATTTTTAGGAGAGATGGGGTTTCACCATGTCAGCCAGGATGGTCTCAATCGCTTGACCTCATGACCCGCCCGCCTTGGCCTCCCAAAGTGTTGGGATTACAGGCGTGAGCCACTGCGCCTGGCCAGAGGGTCTTTTAATTTGCAGGATGAAAATTCTCCCTCAGAGAGTTACCACTACAGCTGGAAATGAACCTCTCCCTGCTGAAAACTGGACAACGGGAATGGAAGAACTGAATAGAGGTCAAATTCTGGTAATGTACTGGCCTGGCTGCCTTGAACATTAACCTTAATTTTGAAATGGCTCAATGATATGGCAAGAAAATAAGAAACATTTAAGGAAAAGAAACCCATACTTAGACACATAATCGCACATAAGACCAAAAAAAAAAAAAATCTTAAAAGTAGCCAAAGGGGCCAGGAACAGTGATTAATGCCTGTAATCCCAGCACTTTGGGAAGCTGAGGCAGGCAGATCACCTGAGGTCTGGAGTTTGAGACCAGCCTGACCAACATGGCAAAATACTACCTGTACTAAAAATACAAAAATTAGCTGGGTGTGGTGGCACGCACCTGTAATCCCAGCTACTTGGGAGGCTGAGCAGGAGAACTGCCTGAGTCTGGGAGGTGGAAGTTGCCAGTGAGCTGAGATCGTGCCACTGCATCCCAGCCTGGGTGACAGAGTAATGCCTTGTCTCAAAAAAAAAAAAAGTAGCCAAGAACAAAAGATTATCTTTAAAGGAATGACAATTGGACATCTGACTTCTCAACAGCAACAATAGAACTTGGAAGACAGTGGAACAGTATCTTCAAAGTCCTGAGAAAATATCCCTGCAATCTCGAGTTGCATATTCAGTGGAACTCTTTCAAGAAAGAGGGCAAAATGCATACAACTCATGATGAATACAAATGAGAGACTCTGCTAAAGGAAACTCTAAAGGAACTTCACACAAAAATGCAATGATCCCAGACTACAGGCCTGCAGTAGAAGAGAAATGAAAAGTAAAAATGTGGATGCCACTGAAGTATGTGGTTCATCTAAACCAAAGAGTAGGCTACGAGAAAGGAAAACGTGATGATACAAAAGGCAGCTCCCGACCAGGATGGAGGAAGACAGTGAATGACAACGACATATCAGTGCAGTGGAGCGCAGGGCCTCAGCAGTGTTTTGGAGAGAACTCCTTAAACACACAGAAGAAACAGAAAACCTGAGGAGTCTGAATGTTCGAAAAGAGATTTAGGAAAATGGTAAAGACGTCTGGGGGTGAATTGACTTTAAATATGCAGCCAACTAAGAAAAAGCAAACAGGAAAATAAAAACACATCTGGAAAAACTTCGGTTTTTTTGCAGGAAAGACAAAAATTAGAACAGTTTACTGCGTGGCTTATGTATTATACTGTTAAAATAATGCAAGTGGCCGGGCGCGGTGGCTCACGCCTGTAATCCCAGCGCTTTGGGAGGCCGAGGCAGGCAAATCATGAGGTTAAGAGATTAAGACCATCTTGGCCAACGTGGTGAAACCCTGTCTCTACTAAAAATACAAAACATTAGCTGGGTGTGGTGGCATGCACCTGCAGTCCCAGCTACTTGGGAAGCTGAGGCTGGAGAGCTGCTTGAATCTGGGAGGCAGAGGTTGCAGTGAGCCGAGATCCCACCACTGCACTCCAGCCTGGCAACAGAGCAAGACACCGTTTCTAAATAAATAAATTAAAATGCAAGCACTGACATTTACAGTATAGGCATAAAATATGATAACACTGTACACATTTCAATCATTACATAACTATGTTAGAAGGACAGGGATGGGAAGGCGTCACGTGTGGTGAGAGCTGGGGGTTGGGAGAAAATGGGAACTAAACCATCCTTTTTCTTGTGAGATGGAGTCTTGCTCTGTCGCCAGGCTGGAGTGCAGTGGCGCAATCTCGGCTCACCGCAACCTCCGCCTCCTTGGCTCAAGCGATTCTTCCACCTCAGCCTCCCAAGTAGCTGGGACCACAGGCGCGTGCCACCATGCCCAGCTAGTTTTTTTTGTATTTTTAGTAGAGACGGAGTTTCACCACGTTGGCCAGGATGGTCTCGATCTGTTGAGACCTCGTGATCCACCCGCCTCCGCCTCCCAAAGTGCTGGGATTACAGGCGTGAGCCACCGCGCCCGGCCGTCATCCTCTTTCACAGTGGGGAGTCACTAGAAAATGTCTAAAACTGAAAGAAAAAATGATCAAGAAGCAGCAATGCCAGTGTGTCAGAGACATGGGGTCAACACCGGATAATTTGGGCAGAATAAGTAAATATGATTGCTTCTGGGGAGGGTTAAATGGGGTGAGACAGGGCAGGTATCTTCTGGGTTTTATATTAAGTCTTTTCTCGGTGTTTGACCCTGGAGGGGCTTGCCTATCTTTGAAAGAAATAACAAGTTCTTTTAAAAGATAAATGAATACAACCCTCCCTTTCAAGTGATGTCCTTTGGTTTAGTCTTTCCGGTAAGGAACCAAATCTGAATATTTGCAAGGAATTAGACTTAAGTCACAAGGAAGGCTACTGTTGGCTGGGTGCTTCCTATGCAGCAGGCACACCGGGCTTTAACTCATTTGTTCTGAAAACCACTCAGGAAAGGAAGTAAGAGACATATAGGAAAACTGAGGCTCAGAAGCATAAAGTGACTTGCCGAAGGTAGGATTTGAACCCAGCACTGTTGACAGCAAAGCCTGCCTTTTAAAAATACTATATTATCTTCTCTCCCAAATGGGTTTCTACAGTGAATCCTCCATGGTGGGAAAAAAAAAATGCAAGGAACCAGAGGTCTGACTCCTGGTTCACTCTGGATAACCGGCTTTTCCCTCCCTCCTGCAGCTAGAAAGAAAGAAATGGAATGGAAGGTTCTGGTGACTTACAGAGTAGGTGACACCGCTGGAAGACACAGGGGACACCTCATTGGCAGAAGTAGTCACAGCCAGAGAAGCCAGGGCAGGGAAGAGACTCTCCATCTCGGGCTCCTCCGAGAGGTTGTCCTCGCTGTCCGCCTGGCCATGTTTCTCTGCCTCACTGCCCCTCCAGCTCTCCATGACATCGTCCTTTTCAGGCAGGGTCACGTCCATGCTGCCTGTGATGGACATGAACTCATCCATGCTCTCGTTGGCCAGGAAGTCGCTCTCCAGGCTGTCCTGCACGGCCAGCGCCTCCCGGGGGGCCTCATCCTGGGATGTGGTGGCCTCGCTGCTCTGCCTGTCATCCACACTGCCATCCCCAGGGCGCAGCACCGGGGGAGTGTTCCGCTGGGCGTCCAGGACACTGTCTTCTGTGCTCAGACTGGGCTCTGAGTGCTCTGAGAAGCCCGAAGAGAAGTTCTGAGAGGAAGGATGACCCGAGTCTGGGGAACAGGTGCCGTTCACTAGGTTCCCATTGGGGATCTTGGGCTGTTTCTCCTCCGATCTGCCTTCAGCCTCCACCTGCTCCACCTCATCCACAGACTCAAACACCTGAGGACAAGGTGCACAAAAACAGATGGACCAACATGTCCACGGAAGCACTACTTACAGCAGAGACCTAAATATCCAACAACAGGTGATCGGCTTAAATACAGATCAAGCATGCAGTGGAATATCATACAGCCAGTGAAAAGAGTGAGGTGAAACAAGGTGTAAGATAGGCTCCCATGTGTGACAAATAAGAAAGTGGTCTAGGCTGTACATGGTGGCTTAGGCCTGCAATCCCAGCACTTTGGGAGGCTGAGGCAGGCGGACTGATTGAGCCCAGGAGTTTGACACCAGCCTGGGCGATGTGGTGAAATCCGGTCTGCAAAAAATACCAAAAAAATGAGTGTGGTATTTTGGTGTGGTGGTGCACACCTCAGCTACTTGGGGGGCTGAGGTGGAAGAATCACCTGAGCCTGGGAACTCAAGGCTTCAGTGAGCTGGGACTGTGCCACAGCACTCCAGCCTGGGTGATGGGAGTGAGCCACCATCTCAAACAACAATAAAAAAGTGATTTATGTGCTTGTGTATGCACAGAATGATCTAGAAAGAAATAAGAAAGTACTGCAGTTGACTCTGTTTTGTTTTGTGTTTTTTTGAGATGGAGTCTCGCTGTGTCACCCAGCTTGGAGAGCAGTGGCACAATCTCAGCTCACTGCAACCTCCACCTCCCAGGTTCAAGCAATTCTCCTGCCTCATCCTCCCAAGTAGCTGGAATTACAGGCATCTGCCACCATGCCCAGCTAATTTTTGAATATGCAGTAGAGATGGGGGTCCACCACGTTAGCCAGGCTGGTCTCGAACTCCCGACCTCAAGTGATCTGCCCACCTAGGCCGCCCAAAGTGCTGAGATTACAGGCATGAGCCACCACGTGCTGCCTGCAGTTTGCTCTGAGGAGGGGTAATGGGGAATCAAAATAAGGGGAGACAGTAGCTTTTCATCACACAGACTTTTACCATGTGCACATAATTTTATCTTTATGTATGTATGTGAGTATTTATTTATTTGAGATGGAGTCTCGCTCTGTTGCCCAGGCTAGAACAACATATAGGATGGTATTTATGTACACATTTAAAAAAGATTTACCAAACATTGCTATATATTATCTACATATTTCTGTGTCTGTACAGTCATACAGAAGGTTTTGAAAGAAACACTGCAAACTGAAGATAGTGGTGTTATTTCAAGGGAGGGCAGGCAGAGATTAAGGATGATCAAAGCAGACGTTGACTTTCTCTGCAACATTTTAGTGTTTTACAGGGGTGACAGATCCACATATTTCTTTCATCACTAAAAAAAAAAATGATGTTTAATGCCAATATAAAAAGCTAAAATAAATAAAGCAAAAAGTGACCTGCAGATGATGGACACCCAATCCCCATGACCCCAGGCGGAAGGGAGGGACATGGGGGGGAGGGGGCGGGGACTCCACAAGGTCACCTGTGTGCTGCTGCTGGAGTCACTGTGTAGGCGGATGTTCTGGTGGCCCGAACTGCAGCTCTGAGAGGACTGAGAGAAAAAGGAGCAGGAGGGAGGGAGGGTGAGTTTGCACCCTGCCCAGAGCAGGACGGCCGGGCTGGGAGCCGGAAAGTCTAGTTTCATCTCTCTTCCTAGCTTGCCCAAGTCCTCTCTCACAGCGTCAGCTTCCTAGCTGTAAAATGAAAGGGGGGACCACTCCCTGCTTCCTGGAACCTCCTCAGAGACTACTTTGACCTCTGGGTTCCCACCTCTCACCTCTGCAACTAGAGCACCCCACCTTTAACTGCTCTGTAGCTGAGACTTCTGGCTAATATTTTAGTTCAACTCACAGAGTAACTGGTTCTATTCATGGCTCCGTTTTTTGTTTTTTTTTTTCCACCTGATCCCTGTATACATGGTTCTGCCCTATAACCTCATAGTCCGTGCCTACTCTGACACTAGACTTGGCCATGTGGCTTGCTTTTGTCAATGGGATGTTAGCAAACTTGACTCAGCAGAGGCTTCAACCCCCGCTGTGC